ATGCTTTGAGGTGTTCTGGCAAGTGCTTCTGACTGAAGATCTCACTCCTAAAGATCTCTTGAAACTATTTCAAGCAACGGGAATTCTCTGAAAAATAATAGGCAAGCCGTTCAATAATAAAGGCAAGATTTTGATGAAAAGTTAAAGGATACTTACTATAAAGACATGCAAAAAATGTGATGGCAACAGACCAAACCACCCAGTAGTAAAGAGGGAGGGCAGCAAACGACAAAATCAATGTTCTGACTGTAATAAAAAGGAAAAACTGACAGGTATGGAAAGCCTACTCTTTGCCAAGCACTTGTTACACTTCATTGCATTTAATCCTCACGATCAGCCTGGAAGTATATATACATATGTATTTATTTCTGTCTTTCTCTTATTGCTTAAGCCATACAGTCATCCCTCATATCCACAGGGAATTGGTTTCAGGACCCCCCATGGGTACCAAAATCCAAGGATGCTCAGGTCCCTTGTATAAAATGGCATAGTATTTGCATATAACCTACGTACATCCTCCCTGTGTACTTTAAATCATCTCTAGATTACGTATACTATCTAATACAAAGGAAATGCTATGTAAATATTTGCAAATGCTATGTAAATGATGGAGTATAGTAAATTCAACTGCATTTTTACTATTTTATCTCCTTCTCCTCCTCTCTCAATATCTGATAGTTTTACCATTAATTCTCCCCTCTCCTTTGGTTTCCTTTTAAAATTAAAACACCATATCTAAACTTCTATTTCCGGTTCCATCCATTTCCAACAGTGTATCCTGATCCCTTACTTTGCAATATGAGAATATTGTTGCCTCCATACTTTTCTACAATTTCTAATTTTTACTTTCAAAAATATTTAAAATTGAAATCTAGTCGATTTACAACGTGGCATTAGTTGCTGATGTACAGTGTAGTGATTCGTTTAACTTCTACTTTTGATAGACATTTTTTACATTGTCAAAATTGATGTTATGTACATTTTGCCTCTACTGATAGTTAAATATTTTGAGGTCTGCCTATAGATTAATTCTAATACTGGAAATCAATAAACAGTGTTTATCATGGTCATATAATCATTTCTTTTTTATTCAGGGTCCAGTTCTTTCTCTCTTGTTCCAAGGTCACAGTACCATTTGCTTTAAAAGAGAATATGCTAGCATCGTGTAAGGTCAAACGTATTTTTTCTTAATTCTATCAGTTGCTCAAAATAATAATAAATGTTTGATAGAATTCACTTGTGATGCCGTATGGACACAGAGTTTTGTTTGTCGGAAAGTTTTTAATTACAGATTTAATATCTTTAGTAATTAGAGGACTATTCTGATTTTTTGTTTCTTCTTAATATGAGTTTTGAAAAGCTGTGTTTATAGAAATTTGTCCATTTTCTCCCAATTTTCACCTTTTTGGCATAAAATTTTTTCACAATATCCTGAAATATCTTTAGTGATGTCTCCTTTTTCATTATAAAAATGGCTAGTGTCTATTTTCTAAATCAATCTTGCTTTTATCAACTTAATCTTTTAAAAAGGGAAATTGCTGGATGCCAGGGTATAAGTCTATTTCACTTTTTTTCAAAGTGGTTTTTACCAATTTACACATCCACCAGCAGTATATAAGAGTTCCAGCTGGTCCACATCCCTGCCAAAACCTGGAGTCATCAGTCTTTTTTTTTTTTCAGCCATGCAGGAGGGTATGCAGTGGTATCTTATTATTTGAATTTGCATTTATCTGATAACTAATCATTTTGAACACCTCTTCATGTGTTTATTTGTCACTTGGGTGTCTCCTTTTGTGAAGTGTCCATCTGTATAGTTTGCCCATTTCCTTACTGATTATCCTTCTTTGTAAAAGTTTTTGTTTTTTACATATTTCATATGTTTTTACACATTTACATGTGTGTTCTTTTTAGATTATCTGTATTGCAAAAATCACCCCTCATCTACTTAGCTTGCCTTTTCACTCTCTTGATGTTGTCATTAGGTCAACCAGTTTCTTAATTTTTAGTTCTGTTTAGCAATTATCATTATTTATTTGTTTATCCTGTCCTATTTATCCATTATGATTAGTCCTTCTTAAAAATCTTTTCCCATCCCAAAAGCATGAAGATACTTTCCTGTGATTTATTCCAGAAGTTTATTTGGCTTGTCTTCCGTATTTACTTATACAATCCTCCTAGAATTTATCTAGTGTATGATTTCTTTTTTTCAATGTGGATATTCAATTGGTCCAGCACCACTAATTGAAAAGACCATCTTTTTCTCATTGCACATCAGTATCATCTTTGTCATTTAATCAAATGACTATATATTTGGGTCTCTTTGTGTACTTTCTGTTACGTTTCATTTCTCAGTTTGTCTCTCCTTGTGCATGTGGCACATTGACTTTATTACAGTAATTTCATAATTAGTTCCAATGTATGATAGCATAAGTTCTTCAAATTAGCTTTTCTTCAAAATTACTTTGGCTATTTCTAGACTTTTGTATTTTCACATAAATTTTAGAATCAGCTTGTTGAGTTTCACCCCCGCCCCCAAAAAAACTGCTGAAATTTTGATTGAGTCTGCATTTACTCTATAAATCAACTTGCAGAGACTTGCTATCTTAACAATTTTAGTCTTGCAATCTATTACCATGGTGTAAATCTCCACTTATTTAGGTATTTTTAATTTATTTCCATGATGTTTTGTAATTTTATACATAGAAGTTTTGCACATTTTTCGTTAGATAGATATTTGATATTTTTGATGCTCCTATAAATGGTATATTTAATTTTTCATCTTGAATTCTTTATTGCTAATATACATAAAGATTTTTATATTAGTCTTTTATCTAGTGTCCTTACTAGGTTAACATATACATGATAATAGCTTGTAGATTATTTCAAACAGTCTATGTAGAAAGACTGTTTTATTCCTTCTTTTCTTATCATTCTACTTTTTCTTGCTTTATCGTACTGGCTATGACCTCTATTACAATGTTAAATAAAATGGTGACATTAGGTATCTTTGTCTCACTGCTGATTTAAGGAGGAAAACTTCTCATACACCAAAATTAAATACGATGCTTACTCTAAGTTTTTTTGAACATACTTGTTCATACAATTAAGGAACTTTCCTTCTATATCCACTTTGGTAAATTCTTTCCTTTTTAATCATTACTGGGGTTTGAAGTTTCTCAAAAGCTTTTTCTGCATCTGACATGGTAATCAATTTTTATCCTTTATTCAGTTAATATGGTGAATTGCATTTTACTGATTTTTACAATGTTAAATTAACCCTGTGTTGCTGGAATAAATCCAGCTTCCTGTGATGTGTTTTTGGTTTTGTTTTTATAAATTGCTGGATTCAGCTTGCTGATGTTTTGCTTAGGATCGTGTGTCCGTGTTCACTAGAAAAGCCAGCCTGTAATCCTCTTTCCTCGTGCTATTCTTGCCAGGCTTCAGTATCAAGACTATGCTGGTCTCATAAAAATGAATTGGGATGTATTTTCCTCTTTTTCTATTCTTGGGAAGTTGTAAATTTCTTGCCTAAATTTATTTCCAGCAACTCTTCTTATCGTTTAAATGTCTGTATGATCTGTAGTGACTTCCTTTTTTTGACTCCTGATGCTGATTATGGGGGGGGGCTCTCTTTTTTCAGTCTTCAAAGAACTGACTTGCAGAGAACCACGTTTCAGCCTTGTTGATTTTTCTCTATTGTACTGAGGGTTACTATTTTATTAATTTCTGCTCTTATCTTTCTTATTTCCTTCTGTCTACATTCTTGGGTTTAATTTGCTGGAAGTTTTTTTTTTTTTTCCACTCTCATTTTGAACTGGATAGTGAGCTTGTTTTTTTTTTAAGCTTTCTTCTTGAACATATGGATTTGATGGTTATCCATTTTTCTGTAAGTACAGCATTTGTGGCATTCAACATATTTAGATATGCCATATTTTTATTTTCATTTAGTGCAAAGTATCATTTTGCTCCACTGGGATTTCTCTTCTGACCCAAGTTTTATTTTAAAATGAATTGCTCAACTTCCAAGTATTTGAGGATTTTCCAGCGATTATTTTTGCTTGTTTTCTTTTTAGTTTAATTCCACTTTGTAAGAGAACATGATTTCAACCCTTTCAAATTTGTTGGGCCTTATGACCTAGCAAATTATCAATTTTGGTAAAATCTGGCATATGTGACTTGAGAAAAAGCATATTTTACCCTTGTTAGGTGCATTGTTAATTAGGTTAGTTTTGTTCATCACGTCATTCACATTTCCTAATCCTCTTCAGTCATATATAATCAATTATAAAACACATCTATTTACAGTTTAATTTACATCATTATTTTGTCAGTTTTTGAATTTCCATTTGATATATTTTTTAAAGGTCTAGTACTTTGGTAAAAATTCTTTATTTTGATTTCAATGTTTTTTAACATCATAATCTCCATTACTTTTAAGTACTTGTCTGATCAATATCTGAGTCATGAATGCATCCATGTAGTATTTTATTTAACGTTAGACATTGTGATTTTTAAAATGTATGGCCTCGGACTCTATTCTTTTTCTTCAAAGAGGCTTTCCCTTACCCTCTGTGAGGCACCTAAAATGGGATCAGTGCGTTCAACCCAGTGGGGAGCTGGGTCGACCTGAGGTGGAGCTGGGACTTTTACAAGGCTTGGTTTGCCCATAGGCTGGGTGTAGCCTCCAGGGAGTCCGAGTGGCTTTCTGTGGGACCCCCTTCCCTTTCTGGCAGACTCTGAAAACCAAGTTCTGTTTACCAAGCATCATGAGACTCTTGACAATTCCACCCTGTGTTTCATTGTTTTCTGCCTGGTTTCCTAGACTTTGCCCCTGAACAGCTTAAGATCCGTTACGTACAGAGGAAAAAATGATGCCAAATGCTGAGCTTTCCTCAATAACTCTTTTCTCTGGTCCCTCAAGTCCTGGCTGCTTTGGTGGGAATATGGGTCAGTTACAGGAGCCAAATCCACTCCATGGTTTGAAAAGAAAACCCAAAATGTTTAGGATGATCTTCCATTTATTAATGCTCTTCCTGTTGCATCATTACAAAGATCAGCAAACTCAAGGTCCTTTTCATTTAACATCACAATTCCTAGAATATAGGCGGTTTAGTGTTTCTTTCAGAAATCTCATTTAGTAGAGATCTAGATCTTTGCCACTATGAATTTCACTGGACTATCCACTGTCAGGCAAACTGTGAACTTGGGATTTAAAATCATTGTACTAAGTTGCTTTCTTTTCATCGATTATTTGTGGCCAACTCACTCCCTATTAATCCCCACTGAGTTACATGGCTTTAGAGATGCTTGATCAAAATTGGAAACAAAAGCCTTGGAGTGACTGTACATTTTCCCAAAGTCAATTATTTCATGAGTCTAATTCCATCCAAATTTATTTTGGAAAAAAATGTCTTTTCAAAATAAGTTTTAAAATAATCACAAGGGGAAAACAGTTTTCAAGCAATCCCTTCTTGTGAATTAAAAACTCAAGTCAAACCTTGGAGATCAATCAGAGGCTCTGATTTTTCTATCTGGAGAGTTGGTAATATTTGTTAAAAAGTGGAATATACAAGAGATTCAGGATTTTTTAAAAAATCAACACATTCTGAAATACAGCTCAGCAGGGAGCAGATTCTGAGCTAAGATTTTTAAAGACATTTTATGATAAGACTTTTCAAGTTTATTATGAAGCCACTTTTTAAAAATCTAAACATTTCATCAATAGTCTCAGTGAATTTCAATGTATTGATAAGTCATGGACTGTTTTTGTTCTTCTGGGTCCTATCACACAAAATTGTTTTAGAGCGAAAATTGATGGAAATCAAATGTGGCTGGGTAACAAATGAATTCATTATATTGAAGGTGAATACATGCCTTCATTCAGAACACATAATTTAAACCAAACGTGACACTATGAAAATTAACATTTGTTTTCCCTCAATATTGGGACCCAGTGTAGGACTCTCCACTCTTATTTTTCGGTTACAATAACACAAAGAGATACTGATGTGGCCTATTATCTCAGCAATAATGCATATTACAACAAGCCATTATTTATTAGCAGTAGAATGTTTCCCCAGGGCTTAATTTAGATTGCCTAAAATGAGATAACAAAATCTCAGTCTTGGAAGTGATCCTCTGTATAGTTACTGTTTGCGGACACTTTTATGTCTTCACAGCAGTTTAAGATCCTTAATTGGCTGGGTCTTTGAAATGAAGGCATATGGTGCAGTACCAAGATCTTGGAAGGCTGATGTGAACGAACACGTGCAGAATCAGAAGCCAGGCTTCTTGGAATGGTTGGTAGGTTTTAGTTCAGAAGTAGAAGTGTTCACTGTCTGTGGGAACGTAGTTTGGTGCAGCCACTATGGAAAACAGTATGGAGATTCTTTAAACAACTAAAAATAGACTGAACATGTAATGCAGCAATCCCACTCCCGAGCATATAACCAGAGGAAACTCTATTTCAAAATGCACCCCCAATGTTCACAGCAGCACTATTTACAGTAGCCAAAACATGGGAGCAACCTAAATATCCATCCACAGATGACTGGATAAAGAAGTTGTTCCACACACAATAGAATACTACTAAGCCATGAAAAAGAGTAAAATAATATCATTTGCAATAACATGGATGGACCTGGAGAATGTCATACTAAGTGAAGTAAGCCAAAAAGAGAAAGAAAAATACCATATGATATAATTTATATATGGAATCTAAAAAAAATGACGCAAATGAACATATTTATAAAACAGAAACAGACTCTCAGACATAGAAAATGAACTTACAGTTCCCAAAGGGGAAGCAGGGAGGAGGGAAGGATAAATTGGGAGTTTGGGATTATCAGATACAAATTACTATACATAGAATTGTATATACTATATATAAACAACAAGAAACTACTGTATAGCACAGGGAACTATATTTGATACCTCATAATACCTATAATGAAAAAGAATATGAAAAAGAACATATATATGTGAATCACTATGCTATACATAATTAACACAACACTGTAAACCAACTATACTTCAATTTAAAAAAAGAAGTTGATGTGTTCATTTCTCGCATGCTCTGTGGTACCCCTGAGACGTCTGGATGTCCTGCTGCCTTAGCAGCTTTAGCCCGCGCCCCAGGATTCTACAGGCAGATAAGAAAGGCTGGGCTTGGATGAGTTAGTTAATCCTCCCAACTTTGCTCTTTCATGATCAGGGTGCAAACGTCAGGTCTGGTCAGACGGAGTTGGGGTGAGGGAAGTCATGGTATAAAACCTGGCTGATCCCATGGGTTAGGGCAGGTTGTCCTGGAAGATATCAGCACTGAGTGAGCTAAATCTACTTTAGACTTGACCAGCAACAGAGGAGTCTGATTCCCGCAAATTCTTGTGGCAGCAAGGCAAGCTTCCAGTCCCGAAAAGGCAGAGGCAGGCAGGAGGTCAGGGATGCAGGGGTAAGATAAGGATGTAGGTCTGGAACTTCTGAGTCACAGGTGTGGCCTCATTGAAAAAGCCCTAAGTGAAGAATCCACTTACCAGACTCGGGAGTGCCAGATCGGAGGGAACTGGAGCCAGGCTGGCCCGATGCTGAAGCCCCAGCCTGATACCTGAGTGCCTCCTACAGAAACAGAACTGATCACGGAGCCTGGGGCAGGGCTGGGTCTCCGGGGAGTCACTAAGTGGTCCCAGCTGTGGGACACGGGGCTTTAAGAGCAGGGAATTCCTTGGTCACGGCATCCTTCTTTATTCTAGCGAGCTTTTCTGTGGACTTCTTTATTCCTTTCCAGGATTCTGAATTTTGGAGATTAATCAAGTTCTAGAGGCAGTTTTTGACGTGATTACCAGGTACCGTTCTTGTGACCCCTACCAGATGCTCAGCAGAGAACCAGGTATCCCCTCCCGGGCATGGCTGCAGGTGTGCTTAGGTCTTACAGATGGCCTGGGGCCCAGGGGCTTTTTTTCCCCCACTCTGGGCTGCCTTTCAATCTGCTAACCAAGGATAGTCATGACTGGAAGTCCCCCATGACTGAACTAAAATCCTCAGGCTTCCAAACACTGAAATAAATTTCCTTAATGGAACTGTTGGCTAAGGGAGAAAGCATCTATAGAATTCTTGCTCATACTTCTATCCAAAGCTCTCTTCTCTGATTCCAAACTCCAGGCTCTCAGTAGATTGCTTCATTATTTGGAAAGCTGTGGAACCAGCAGGTGGTCAGCTCAGCCCAGTCTAAGCACGCTGCAGCCCAGTCCTGCCCACGTCCACACACATCTACACCTTAGCCGACCTGTCCCTTCAGGACCACTCGCTCAGCTCAACACATCCTCTCTCTCTCTAATTTTATTTCTTATTGAAGTGTAGTTGATTTACAATGGTAGTTTCAGGTGTGCAGCAAAGCAATTTGGTTATACATATACATATATATTTTCTTTTCAGATTCTTTTCCATCATAGGCTATTACAAGAAATTGAATCTAGTTCCCTGTGCTCTACAGTAGGTCCTTGTTGTTTATCTGTTTTATATACAGTAGTGTGTGTCTGTTAATCCCAAACTCCTAATTTATCCCTCCCCTGCCCTTTCCTCTTTGGTAACCATAGTTTGTTTTCTAGGTCTGTGAGTTTATTTTTGGTTTGTAAATAAAGTTTGTATCATTTTTTTACATTCTCTGTCTAGCTTATCTGGAGAAAACTATAATTTGAAAAGACACATGCATCCCAATGTCTGCAGCAGCACTATTTACAATAGCCAAGACATGGAAACAACCTAACTGTTCATTGACAGATGACTGGATAAAGAAGATGTGGTGTATATATATATATATATATATATATATATATATATATATATATATATATATATATAAGTATTACTACTACTACGAACAAATAAAACGAACTAATAAGTAACTACTCTACTTACGTTGTACGACAACAACTAAGTGGTAGGTACGGTACGGTAGGTA